GGAAGTGTTTCTTTGACCTTCGGTATTCGGTCTCCGGCGCTGGAGAAGAGACTTGGTGGAACTCTCCGGATCCGCTGCCGCCAATCGTCACGCATGAAGAGGTGCCTCCCGTGACATCATCGAGGCCGGCTAGATCAGGCATGATCAAAGCCGTAACAAGTACAAGTAAGTACCAGAATGGGGAAAGTCGATGCCACATCTTTGACCGCCACACAGGCATAAACGACAACCAAAAAATCACGGCACTCCTGAAATATCCGAAAGTAGGGCCACCTGAAAATGCTTCAGCAGGAATAGACATCAGTTTGATGAAGGGGAACCGAGAAAGATGAGGGAGACCGGAATGGCCTTTTCTAACTTATTAGTCAGCATCAGCCACGCATACCCAATCCCGGAGACAGTGACCTCCCGGATTCAAACCCACGACCTATGGACATTGAGTGCAACACTCTACCAGTGCACCACGGGCCTGTTGTTTTTGTCGATTGCGATCGGGAAAATGATTAGTGATAGGACACTCATAGATCTGGTTACAATTTTTGTTGGTTCCTCTTTATCATACATTACAGGTCGCTATGCGGCTGCCTGCGATTGAGTTCCGAGATAAAACGGGACGAGCATATTCCACAATCAGGTCGGTGAGCGCGTTACTATCAACATATCATCAGCTTACTGGATAGAAACGGTTAGTTTTTTCTTACGCAAGTATTGATGTAAATAAACTATATTTGTCAGCACGAAATCTTGATTTAGGCTACTGTGCAATTTTTGGTGTATTTGAAGAACGCAGATAAGGCTTAACTAGCAAACGGAAGATTGGGGAAAGCATTTATAAACGGTATAGGAGACTGCCAAAGCGTTCCACTGGCATGACTAACAGGGAGGACAATCTCCTCGGTGATTTAATATGGTTTTTAATCTTACAAAATCGTATCCTACTTTTTAAACATTTTGTAATTGAATCACACTTGCATTTAGGGGACTGGAACAAATTGCAGTTAGAAGTGTTAGATGATAGCCTAATGGATTCAAACAGCTCTACTGGGAAATTATCGAGGGACAATAGGCGTCTCTGTAATTACCGCCAGTGTTGGGCTATTATATATAAGGTGCATAACAGTAATGGCACTCTGAGGCTAGGATCTCAAGGCCTATTATGAAAGAGACTAAAGTAAATGCAGCTGAAAGTCACAAATCCGTCTTTCATAGCACTGGAGGACTAGCCAAGAGGACGGAGTGAAGGAAGTTGAAGGGCCAGGCTGTCACAGAGATACGCAATAAAATACATACTTACCATTTCAGTTTATCATTTTGTCCAGATGAGAAGACGCTGCTTTTAACCACTTCCCCGAGCTCCTCCCGGCAGAAGCTGAAGTTGCTTATGGTCCAAATGTACCGCAGCTTTGTG